CTCGGGTCCCAGGTTCAATCCCTGTTGTCGATAACCCACCCAGCCTTATGCAAAGCTAGGCCTGATTTAGGTCCATCGCCTTACAAGAGCTTATCCAGTGATGGGCAAGCTTCTGAAAGTCCCTTCCTGCAGCTCTTGAATGTCTTCCATGCCAGCCTGCAAAGCCCTTTCACTCAGCCCTCTCAGCTCATTTTTACCAATATTAATACAGGTTGAACAACCTCTCTGGTCCGGCAACATCCATGGTCCGTCATGGTTTTAGCCGGGTTCCTACTTTTTATGGGTGTGGCCAAGTTTCCTGCAGTCCCCTGAAGTTTTACAGCTCTCAGTGTCCTGTGCTGGTATTTAGCTCTAATTGACCCCCATCAGCCCAGTGAGCTATGGCAGCGATGGTCATACTGCTAGACAATATCGACCTTCTGGGGTCCAGCAAATTCTCTTGTTTGCCACTGGTCAGGTCCCAGAGTGCTGGACTAGAGAGGTTCAGTCTGTACTGGTGACACCTCAAGCTGGCCAGCAAGCTGGGGAAGAGACGTCCCAGTGCCCTAGCCGAGCTGGGATTAGAACCCGGGTCTCCAAGCTCCTAGGTCTGAATTCACAGGCCTACACGGCCTGTCAAATTAGAACCCTATGAGGGTCCAATTCCCAGGCCTCATGCTCTTCAGTCCCAACACAAACTTAGACTCTTATTAGAAACCACGCACCCGCTCAGGGGTCCATGAAAAGCTACTTTGTTCCTGCCCCTACTGGCACACTACTGATTTGGGTTGTAAACAACATACAGGGCTCTCGCTGACTTTACTGGGCGCCCCGCCCTTTAAATGTTCTGGGACTGGGTTGCTTTCAGCCCTTTCCTCCCGCCTGCACCCGGGACCCGCCCCCGCCGACGGTGGAGCGGAGCCGGTCGACGCCTTTGTTCTCCTTGATGCGGCGCAGCACCGCGGCCAGCGTGGCGGCGCACAGGTTGGCCGAGCGCGTGGAGACGATCCGGCAGATGTGCTGGGTGGCGATGCAGTCTTCTGCCGACGGCTCCAGCCCAAGCTTGGACAAGACCTCGTGGGCTTTTTGTAGCCCTTCCTTCTCCCTGGAGGCCAGGGAAGAACAAAAGGAAGAAGGTCAATGGAGAGACTGTTGGGTTAACTCAAAGTGTCACAAGTTTTGCGGGTTCCACCTCGCATCCTACAGGTCAATGGAAGCCCAGAAGTGTAGGACTGAAAGGGCCCTTGACAGGTTGTCTAGTCCAGGCCCCGGCAATGAAGCAGGACTAAGTACTATCAAGACCAATGGTTCGCGAGCTGTGGGTCAGGATCCCAAAGCAGGTCACAACCCCATTTTAATGGGACTGACTGGGCTGGCATCAGACTTGCTGGGGCCTCGGGCCAAAGCCCAAGTCCCATTGCTCAGGGCCAAAGCTCAAGTGTTTTAGCCCCACTGGGCAG